CAGGAATAAAAGATCAGTAAAGCTGTTAATTATGGTACGATTCGTATTTAGAAATGAGTTAAAATCAAATAGTCCGAAATTGCCGTAGCAGTGGTACATGTACATACCTGTCGTATCTGACCATCAGGAGGTTTATGTGACATTGATTTCTCTGTCATTTTGTCAAACATTCCTTGCCCCCATAGCAGCTTTCCCTGATGTTTTTGTAGCTTCTTCATTGCCTTTTGATCTGGTGACTGTACCTTCATACCTAAATGATTTCTAGAACAAAGAAAAAATCTGATTCTTAAGTACATTTATAAGTAACTGTGATAATCAAGATGCGCTCCTCTTCAGCATGTGGGAAGGAGAAAAACTAAATTTAAATTTGTAAAGGAGACCAAAGCTTGCTTTACACAGATGAGGTCCTGTCTGGTAAAGGAGTTGTTAATGAGCAGTTTTCTTTGGCTCTAAATGAAAACCTTGCTTACGTAGATCGAGAGCCCACAATTTAACATTACCTAGTGTAAACCCAGCTTAGCAAGTGCTCAGATCGATGAATGAATTTAAGATATAAATGATGGCCAAAGTGGGATTTTATATAGATTATCTGAGGATTATTTACTTGAACATGTCTTCTTTTTGTAACAGAGCTAGTAACAGAGAGCAAGCTGTTTGCACCAGAGCTCTGGAGCAAATGACCAGTTTTTGTTTTTTAATTTCCATTTCATTGCAGACCAAAATATTTGTAAAAATGAAATACTAAGAAAATTAAGTGGAAAAAAAAAACATAAAATACAAGCCCAATTGTAGCTTTATTAGATTTAAGAGACATACAATTATTCCTATAATTGTAAAAATCATATTGCTATAAAATTGGTTGAAGCCATTCAGTTTCGTACTTTTCTTGTTGCAGACCAGTTTGGATTATAATACCACATATTTCATGTGTTAAAATAGTATGCAGATGAAAGGAGTATGCAGATTAAAGTAGTGCTACTCTTACTCCATTAAAAAATGTAAGATGATTAATAATGCACTGATTTCAAAAGGAACTGTCAGATATAGATGGTGTAGTTCAAAATCAGTCACTACTTGAGCAAGTTTTATAATATTCAACTCTTTTCTGTTAAATGACCTTATAGGATTGTTGTGAAGATGTAATGAAGTAATGCAAACAGAGGGCCCAACGCTGTATCTAGAACATAATAAATACTTTAGAAAACATTAAGGATTAGTTTATGTACTGATCATGAAAACTTTTTAAGGTTTTCATTTTTATAACTTTGTTCTAAATTATAAATTTAAAACCTTTTATTTTGGAACGGACTTCTAATAATGGATAAGTCCATGGAAACTTCTCAGCTATTTGTTTAGAATTCTTAAGGTCTTGTTGGGGGGAGCGGAGTGTTGGCATTCCTATTCACCATGGATGTTCCGTTCGGAGAAGCCAGCTCTTTTCCTCTAGTTTCCTTGCCTTACAGTACTTTTCTTAGTATTTAACTTGCTTTTTCTTATAATACTTATTCTCAGTTTAAGCTTTGTTTTGTTTTTCATGTGTTAAAGTTAGTTTTGTGTCTAATTATATTAACTGACTCATTCATAATAAATACCTTTGGGGCTTTGAGTTTCTACCAAATCAAAGATTTGTCTAAAGAACACATCTGTTCAGTATACTTTTTCTCTGACAGTTCTTTTTAAAATAGATTTGACACAGTTGCATTTTTAAGAACTTTTGCATTGTCTGGTGTATTAACCTTTTATTCTCTTATGGTAATATAATAGATTTTACTCCTGTTTGGAATTTTATTTCTAAATTCTGACATTTTAAACTTTGCATTCTCCATAATTTACCCATATCTAGAAAGCAATCAGTAACTGTCTGTCCTCACATTGTTGTCTTATAAGGTTATTGCCTCATAAGTAACTTTGCTTGATAAAACTAAGTTTTGATTAAATAAAATCTCAATACAATATGATTCAATATTATTTTCCTGAAAAACTTTCTTTTCTCTAGGAAATTATATGAATAAACATCATGTAAACTTATGTGCACAATAATATTCATAATAGTTATTGCTTATTTCAATCCTGTGTACCAGGCACTGATGTGCATTATCTGATTTAAACCCTCATGATGAGACTGTGAGATGGATATTGTTAAATCTCACTTTACACATGAGCACACTCAGGCTTGGAGAGGTCACAAACACTTGGTAGAGGTGGGATTTGAAACTCAGTTTGATTATCAGTTCAAAGCACCTGATCATTAGATGATGTATGTTTTTTTTCAATGAGCACTGTGTAAAGAAGGAATGAAATGGATCTAAATTGGCACCTTTAGCTCCCCAAAGTAGGAATATCCTTAATATCACTAACATTTTACCTTCTACATCTCAAGCCCGTGCTTAGTCAGTGCAGCAGAAGTGAAACTACAGAGGTAAACAATCTCCAAATATTGTTGAAACCTATAAGAACTGAATATGTCTTACATGCCCTTTAAATGAACACTTTCCTAATTGGAAGCTAAAGCAGTTCCTGTTTTGAACTATCCAAGATTAATTTCACACTTTACGTGTCCATAGTTTAGTCCGTTCTAAATTATGCTTTTCAAGAATTGACATACTTTT